AAGCATATTGATATCCGCCACCATTTTGTCCGTGAGCGCGTCTCAAATGGTGAAATTGAAATCAAATACATCCTGAAAAACCATCAACTTGCTGACATGATGACGAAGGCATTGACGACAACTCGTTTTACTGAACTACGTGCCTCCAGCGGTATCAAGTTATTATCTGATACTAAGTCAAGCGTGAGAGGAAGTGTTACATAACACACTAGACACTAGGATGATAACCACATGGTGGTGGTTGTTGAAGTTGCAGTTGATGTTGACGTTGCAACATTAACTACAAGCATATGCATGTAATTTTTTAAACTGGATGTAATTGGATTGATGAACCAGGATCTAACAGTTTAATATATTCACTTTTAATTTTCTGAACCTAAACCTGCACTTAAGTGTTTGACACGATAATACCGCTATGGTCAGAGAAAGGCGACAACTCCCGACTTAACTATCTTTATCGTCCACATGTAAAAATGTAGATGACCTCTTGATATTCCTTGCTATAGCAACGCGTCGAAATCAGCTTACTGATAGTCTAAATAATTCTAGGCAAGCGCTTAGCCAAGTTTAGAGACCCAAGCATTGAGGCGATAGGGGAGTGTACAAGAACTAGCATTCTTTTATCATTCATCATGAATGCGTCTTTGTATGAGGACAAGAAGTGCGAGAGTGGGACGGCAATCATCTAGGATCCCATAATTTTAGTTAACCGTTTGTGAAAGAGATATCACGAAGTGGTGACGTGAAATTCGCCATAAATGCTGCCCATGGATAAAAGAAAATGATGCCATCGATTTAGATCCTGAAACCAAATACTGTCTGTTACGTCTTACCAAAATAGCTTGACATGTTTTTCGATGGAAGCACAATACGTATGCAGTAAATCTGTCAACTTCAGGGTCGACTCTGCGTCAGAAAGTGGATGAAAAAACTTGTGCATCTACTCATAGAGCTCGCAAAGAATTGGGGTGAAAATTATCTTGTAGGAGTTTAAGGAAGTGGTTTGGCCTAGCCATTCACTTCCACAACTACAATTCACAAAGATCCGTATGGCCCGCTCTCACAACAATTTATTGAATGAAAATCACATCAAGATGGATGCAGTAGAAGAGGCGGCTCTCAATTAAAAAGCTTTTTTAGCTTTTTTGTTCTCCGATAATGGTAACTTCAATTTCATACCGGCTACTACAGTCTTTGTCTGCAACGCTTCAGCCTCTCCCACAGACTATATTTTCTCCACGTGGATTCCAATGGCATAAACGGAGGCCTTAAAGACATAAAGATTAAAAAAACTACTTTAAAGTTACTTGCAATGAAGTATACACTTTTCAAGTACAGGGTACACCGGAATAAGTCGAATGATTTTTTGCTATGAATTTCGTAAGGCTGCATCGCCAGCGCATCGCGCGCACAAAGTGGCAAGTCTCTCCTTCTTTATCAAAGATTTGGTCGGTTAAATCTGGTGGCCAATGCGTTTCGCATCGCATAAAAATATTATGACGCTGCTCATCGACAATCCAAGTCGTACACGTAGGTTAGGCTGTAATGGTCTACACTAAACCATTATTTGAAGGTACTCTATCTACCTTCTGTATGCGTTGTGGGAGTTGATGAAAAAAGATGATTACAGTATGGTATTCCCAAATGCTTACGTGACATCTGATATGAAAGCACAACCATTCTGTGTGATACAGAATGTTGGTTCATACTTGAAATCTGTACCGGTGACGAGACCGTCGTATCTCTGTCATTGAAAGTGGGTAACCAGTCCCTTCTAATGCATGCTTTCTACGAAATTTGAAACTCAAGCTTTTAAAGTTCCAGCTCCGTACACTTAAGACCTAGTATCAGTTGAAGCTGAGGTCTAACCTCAGTACACCCTTGATTTATAAATCAGGAATCCAAGTCTTTGTTTGTAAAAGCTTTAGGACCCCTTGGGATGTTTTGCATAAAGCTATGAACCACAGCTCATTTTTTCAGTTACAAATTTATCTTGGAGGTACTAAGTCGTCCTTCTTACCTCCAAGTCGGGACCGCTTTACTTCTCCACGTTGGAATCGCTTCATCATCGCACAAGCGTGTGGGTTGCGTTTGAGAGGCTGGTTGTGAACAGCGCTATCTTACACCTGGTAGCACTTCGAGTGGTTTTTCTAGCGAAACTTGAAATTTGTTTCACAACGCGGCTTTTAAGCACGTCGATCATCCCTGTCCAAGCCATACTCTTGTCTTTGTCCGAGCGACAAGAAAGTAGGGAGGGTACCACTTGGTCCATTAGCACCGCAAACTGAGGTGTTGACAAATGAGATATTTTTTCAATTGTCCGCTCATGAGTGTATGGCACTCGAGCAGATGCGAGAAGCCATCGAACAAGCTGCTGTAGCCACTTTACTGCAGTCCGGATGATCAGAAGAATTCGGCCGTCAGTTTATGCATAACGAGAATTTTGAATTTCGGAAGCCGATCGCGACCCCTGTTCTTTTGTAAAGAACGATGCCGTTGAGATTACACGTGTCTTTGTACCTTGGTGGAGAGAACGAGCCTCTTATACGATGGTTTTATATGCAGCTATCACGGCAAAACAAATACAAGACCCTTTGATGCAAGTGTGGCTCGCGATACCAAACCTTGCGGGTCGTGCGAATATTTGGGCGTATGAGAAGCGTCTAGCCGTTCAAAACTGCTAGCCAAGCTAAAAGGCGTTTGAACCACCACAGTGCGAGTTTCGAGCCTGTGCCGAGTTCTTGCGACCTACACTTGTATGTACAACGCGCTCGCTACTTGGTATCGAGCATTCTCGACGAGCCAATTGACCTTTAACGCAAGTTGAACAGTTCTTGGCAGGCTTGAATGATATTCTAATTCGAGATCAACTGTTCTGTGAGTATCTTAAGACACCGGACGATGCCATCAACCGAGCAAAGCAAGAAGTGTTCAACATCTAGCAAGCTAAGTACAATGGCTTTGTTTCAAGGCAAGCGCGCCAGTCGCCCGGTACAAGTGATGGTCCATAGCCAATGGACATCTCGTAGCTTTCCATGCCTGGAAACGTGCGTCTCGCAAAGATGGAAAGTGTTTCGGCTGTGGGATGCCGGGCATATTGCCCGGAACTGCAGAGTGTCTTTGCCGAGTCAGTAACAGACGCAGGGTGCTCGATCAGATAATCGCGTAGGCTATAAAGGTTGTCATCCCAAGGGTAAAAATCGGGAACGACCAGTAGAGGCAGGACTCCCTACTGGGCCCGAGAAGAGTACTGTGGATGAACAGAATTTTGCCCCCACATGCATGATGCACATGCCGTTTTGACTATGGTTTTGAGAAACCGCTACAAGCTTTGAGTGATGCTAGTGCGTCAAACAGCTTTTTCGTGCGCAATTTCGATGGGCATGGTACCAATACGAACGAATAAATAATCGTTCGTTTAGCGGTTGGATCTTGAATGAAGATGCCAAAGCAAGATTTTCGCTTGGCAATGAAATTTGAAGTTCTCCGAGGTGAAGACGAGTTTGACCTATTTAAATTTGATGATGACTTTGATATCAATATAGGCATGCCATGGTTGAAGCGTTATCAGCCTAGCATTGCTTATGAGCTTATGAAGATCGTCGTCGCCAAGTCGTGCACCACAAATTCGAGCTGTATGGCGACGAACAAAATGATATGGATGTATGCATCTGCTGCAGAAATCAAAGATGCCCCCAGTAATGTTGTGGTGTGCGATGGCCCCCATGTTCACAGGACAAGCCCGAGAAGACGAAAGTAAAGACATCAATCGGAAGTGAAAAAGTCA